ACTGTCATAGATTTCATCTATTTCTAATTCTGATGCCTATTTGATTTTCTTTTGAGGAACACTTCTTTTTTTTTTTTTTTTTTTTTTTGCGGAACGGGGGATTGAACTCAGGCCCTTGCACTTGCCAGGGAAGCGCCTATTCCACTGAGCCATCTCTGCAGCCCCTTTTTGACTTTTTTTTTTTTTTCTTTTTAAGGAGGAACACTTCTTTACTGGAATGTTTTCACATTATAAATTCCTAAGGCATTAGTTTTTCTTTTGGGGGGGGGCATTAATTTTTCTCTTTCCCATTTCAGTATATAACCTATGACACAGAATAGCTGTGTATACAGAACAGATTTCCAAATACTTAACTATATCTCACTGAATGGAACACACACATTCACTTGTGTCCTTTTTTTTTTAATTATTTATTTAATTTATTTATTTATTTTGTGTGTGGCCAGCTCAGCCCACCAGGGGGCGGGGCTGGCTGGCATGTGGTGCTAGGGGATTGAACCACAGTCCATGTGTTTTTGCTAAGCTTGTTCTAAGTAGGTGCCTTAGACCACTGAGCCATCTCACCAGCCCCTGTGTCCTTTTTTTAAAAGGTGCTAAAAGAGCCCACTCTTTCCAAATCATCTGTATTGTTCTTTAGGCATATATATATATATATATTTTTTTTTTCCCCCGGAACTGGGGATTGAACTCAGGCCCTTGCACTTGCCAGGCAGGCTCTGACTCTCATGATTTTCCGGTCTCAGCTTCCCCAGTGCTGGGAATACAGGCGTGCACCACCACATCCATCTTTGGAGGCTAGCTCAGCACAGGGCTGGCACAGCATGCAGTATCAGGGATTGAACCCCAGTCCTTGTGCTTGCCGAGCTGTCTCCCCAGCCCATGCAAATCACTTTTGATTTGTTAAAAAGTCATAGCATATGGGGCCAGGGAGATGGCTCAGTAGAATAAGCGCTTCCTTGGCAAGGGCCTGAGTTCAAGCCCCAGTTCCGCAAAAAAAAAAAAAAAAAAAGTCATAGCATAATAAGACTAAAAACGTTCAATATCTAGTAAGCAAGATGATATCTGGCATAACATACATGAAAATACTCGAATTTCACATTTCATGTCAAATGTATGATTAGTAAAAATGGTGAGTGTATCTCAGGAAAGGAAAGCAATCTTCAGAGGACTACAAATAGAATATTGATTTTTAATGAGTTGGAGTTATAAATCCCTGGAAAAAAAATCACAGTGTGTTTCATTTGCGTTCAGCAAGATTTGTGCTCAGAAGGAACGTTAGTGTTTGTTCTGTCTAGCCTGTTAAAGCATTAGACATATATATGAAAACTGTGAACTAATTTGCCTGTCTTCAGTAATATGAGCAGAGATAATATGCCTAAGGTGGGGCCGGGGAGATGGCTCAGTAGAATAAGTGTTTGCCTGGCAAGTTCAAGGGCCTGAGTTCAATCCCCAGATCTGCAATAAATAAATAAATAAATAAATAAATAAATAAACTAAAAACAACAGTGATTCTCATAGGAGAATCATTATGAGACCCTGAACACCATGTACACCTGTCCTAAAATATAAAGAAAAAAATATAGAAGATAGAAAAAACTGTGCTTAAAAGATTTACTTTATCAGAAGACTGTATCTTCATAATTCCTGCTGTCTATCCTGTTAAAATGTGCATTAGGCATATATATATGAAAACCGTGAACCAATTCACCTGTCTTCAATAATATGAGCAAATATAATATGCCTAAGGAACAATACAGATGACTTTCAAAGAGTGGGCTCTTTTAGCACCTTTTTTTTAAAAAGGGCCCAAGTGAATGTGTGTGTTCTGTTATATGCACTGAGTAGTGCCTTTGGCAGTAGGAAGCAGAACATTGTGTAACATAAGCATTAATGAGTATTATATCTTTTTTTTCTTTTTTTTCTTTTTTTTTGATGGAACCGGGGGTTGAACTCAGGTCCTTGTGCTTGCCAGGCAAGTCCTTATTGCACTGAACTCTCTCCCCACATTATAAAAGTGCACAGAGTCAATGAACTAGATTTTTTTGTGGCTGACTCAGCCTGCCCTGAGGGAGAGAGTGGTGGGGCATGAGGTGCCAGGGATCCAACCATGGTTACTCTGTGGTTGCCGAAGCTTGCCTAAGCAGGCGCTTTAGACTGCTGAGCTATCTCACCAGTCCTGTCCACCAGCTTTCAAAAGCAATGTTCTCATCCTGGCAATAAAGCAGTGAATATTGTATCTCTCAGTTGTCCATCATTGAGTATACTTGTATCAACTTTGACATTAAAAAAAAAAAAATATGGGGCTGGTGAGATGGCTCAGTGGTCTAAAGCACCTACTTAGAACAAGCTTAGTCAAGGCACAGGGACCACAGTTCAATCCCCCAGCACCACATGCCAGCCAGCCCCGCCCCCTGGTGGGCTGAGCTGGCCACGCGCGTGCACACACACACACACACACACACACACACAAATAAATAAATAAAAATTAAAAAAAATAACAATAAAAATAAATAAATAAATGTAAAAAAAAATACGGGGAAAAAAAAAGAAAAAACAAAATAAGGGACCAGGAGATAGCTCAGTAGAATAAGCTCCTGCCTGGCAAGTGCAGGGACCTGAGTTCAATCCCCAGTACCAGAAAAAAGAAAGAAACAATAGGAGATGTAATCCTTAATAGTTTCTCTGTTGAAAATCAAATAAACCAAACCAATAATCTCAGTAGGTGTGGTGCTCCATACCTGGTACATGGCACATCAGTGTGACTCATAAGGATCCCAGTAGACTGTAGGCTTGCAAATATTTACGCAGCTAAGTGTGCCCAGTATCACACTAAAGTACTCTTTGATTCCTGATACAACCTCATTAACAGCATACTCCTTGTTTCTGTTTCCAAGAAATTTCCTATCATTTGCCTAGTCCTCCATAATTTAATCCACATTCCTTTTCGATTTATTTTACATTTGTTTTGTGTGTGTGTGTGTGTGTGTGTGTGTGTGTGTGGCCAGCTCAGCCCACCACGGGGCGGGGCTGGCTGGCATGTGGTGCTGGGGGATTGAACCGTGGTCCCTGTGCTTTGCCAAGCTTGTTCCAAGTAGGTGCTTTAGACCACTGAGCCATCTCTCCAGCCCCACACATTTCCTCTTGGTAGGAAGATGAAAGGACTGTTTCTGTTCACTAAGTTTTATTTATCAACAAATGGATTGAGCTCTTCAGGCATCTTTATTTTAACTTCAACCATGTTCATGTTTCTTCATTTTCAGCACTAAGATCATCTTAGGCCTTATTCTTCAAGCAGACTGAGTTGTCTCACTGGTGTCTTTGTACCGCCACCATCCCCATTACCAGGGGATTTTTGTTCATTCATTTTATTTTCACATCAACGCTTTTCTGTTGCTCACCAGATGTCTCTTTTCCCCCATCAGCCCCTCTGATCTTTCCCTCTGTACATTGTTCCTGATTGGCTTATTGAAGTCCTTGCTGTTTCTGCACATTGGTGTCCATGTCCTTGAGTACTTTCTACAACCCATTCATCCCAATTTTTATTTCAGCCACTGTATAATTTACTTCTGAACCATTTTACTTGTTTGTCTTTTGTAACAACTTTTATACACTTCGCTTCATAAAGAAGAGGTCCATGATACACAGTACTTGGTCCCCCTCCTGTAACTTGGGTTACCATCATTTTAAATAAATTGCATGCATATTGTTCCTCTTCTTACCCTCCCTTACACCATCCACAGATGTCTTAATTCTGATTGCAGTGTGATCATAGCAAAGAGAATACTCCTTGTTATTTTCCATCATCCCACTGTTTCTCAGCATTCAACTATTTTCATTATCCATATACATGTACCAATAAAACTGTTTTCATTAACATTTTAATTATTCATAAAGTTAATTAAATGTTTACTTTTTTATTGAATATGATTCATCTTTCAAAACATTTCCTATGGGGGCCAGGGAGATGGCTCAGTGGAATAAGCGCTTCCCTGGAAAGCACAAGGGCCTGAGTTCAATCCCCGGTTCCGCAAAAAAAAAAGAAAAAAATGTTTCCTATGTAGAAAAAAGGGCTCAATTTTACAAATAATCAAATTTGAAGAGATATAAAATCTGGTCTATGAAAATCATTCCTTAGATATCTGTTTGCTCCTGTGTTTTATGGGTAATGATTTTTTTCAAGGCTCACTTTAAGAGATCTCTTTAAAGATAGTGCACAAATACAGTTTGGGTGACCCTGAGGGGCAACCAGTGCTGTTATTGTGCTTTTGATTTAGCAATGAGTTGTCACTTAGCATCAGAATTTATGAAAGTATGTGCATATACATGGGTTTGGTGACCAGTACATGGAGTTAGTATTTGAAGGAATCAACCTCAGTTCAGCTTTTTATTTTATTTTATTTTATATTTTGTCTTTTTGAGACAGACTCTCACTAGCAGTTCAGGCTGGCCTTGAGCCGTCTTTGTAGCCCAGGCTAGTCTTGTACTTGCAATGATCCTTCCGCCTCAGCCTCCCAAGTGCTGGGATTACAGGTGTGCGCCACCATGCCTGGCTATAATGTTTGATTTTTAGTGTGGTTTGGTTTTGGTTTTGGTTTTTTGGGTTTTTTTGCTCTGAATGCCTTCAGGGCAGGTTTGGCTGGCTTGAGTTGTGAGGATCGAACCACAGCAACCTGAGCCTGACTGCTTTGTTGAAGCAGCCACTTAAAGAACTGAGCTAAGGGGCAAGCCCCCCCATAATGTTTGATTTTTAAAAGAGAAGGTGAGGTATCTTAGGCCATTAGGTACAACTTTATTTTTTATTTAATGAATTTTATTTGTATTTATTTGTGTGTGTGTGTGTGTGTGTGTGTGGCCAGCTCAGCCCACCAGGGGGCCGGGCTGGCTGGCATGTGGTGCTGGGGGATTGAACTGCAGTCCCTGTGCTTTGCTAAGCTTGTTCTAAGTAGGTGCTTTAGACCACAGAGCCATCTCACCAACCCAGGTACAACTTTCTTTCAAGAAAACTATGTGTGATTATTTAGGAGGCAGTGACCATGGAAGATGTAGCTGTTTACTTCACCAAGGAGGAGTGGGCTCTGCTGAAGCCAGCCCAAAGGAAGCTCTACAGAGACGTGATGTGGGAAACATTTAGGATTGTGAGTGCTGTAGGTAAGGATGACAGCTTTTTCTCATTGATACAACTAGAGAGCATTAGTTCTTGCTCACTGATGTAGTTGAATTAAATAAAATGCAAAAGAATTTTGAAGACTATCTCAGGCTTACGTTGTAGCATGAGTCTAACTGGAATCTATTATATCTTACACAGTGATATGGTGACTTTTTATAATTTTCTGTCCACAATTCAGGAAGAAGTTTGGATGAACAGCAAATTGAACAAGAGCACAAAAATTCCTTAAGGATTATAAGGTAACTTATGTTCAAAAGATAATCCTCAGGAGTCAGTGTATGAGCACAAATATTACAAATGAGGAAATATTGAAATATTTTTAGGGCTACGGACATAGGTTAGCAGTCTTAAGTGCCTGCCTCACAAGTGCAAGGAGCTGCATGCTGTGCCAACCCTGAAACGGGGCATGGTGGCACACACCTGTAATCCCAGCGCTGAGGAGCTGAGACAGGAGGATCGCTATGAGTCTGAGCTGCATAGTGAGACCATGTACCAAATAAATAAATAGATAAATGTTAAAAAAAAGACATTTTTTTGGGCTGGTGAGATGGCTCAGTGGTCTAAAGCACCTACTTAGAACAAGCTTAGCAAAGCACGGGGACCACGGTTCAA